GCCGTGACCCTGGCAGAGACTTGCAATTTACTGACGGATGGCTTGTTCCGATTACGTAGTGTGGCGGAAACCTCAACAAAGTTGTCGGTGGTGATTGTCACCAGCGACCGGCGGTTGTTGTGTGGGCGTGGTGGTTTTGTGCATGCGGCAGCCACCTGCCAAACCTCTTGGGAGCTGGTGTACGATTTCCCTTCAGACGGAGAGGCCGAAGAGATTTGGTTGCCGTGCGTTCAACTACGTCATGGGGGACGCTTCTTGGCCGTGAGCTTCAATGGAAGCTTAGTGCTGCAAGAAACAAGCAGTTCCTGCTGGGCAGTAGGCTTCGAGCAGAGGCGTCTGAAGGATCAGTTGCTGCACCGCCTTCCTGAAGTCTATGACATCAACATGCACGATCACTGTGGGGATGTGCCGAGCTTGTGGGTGCAGGCATCACCAGCCTTTCATTACATGCTGCAGGGATTCCTTTCCACGCTGCAGCATGCTGGTGATCCGGTCAGGGTCTGTGTCCAGTGGATGCACGATATGAAAGACGTCAGCCGACCAGGATTCCAGATGCTGGAAGGAGCCAGGTTTGTGGATTTTGAGTTCCAGAAGTTGATGCTGCAGATCGAATCTCAGTTGGTAGCCAATTTTGCACCTCCAATGCAACGGACCGTGATTTTCTCAGATATGGATGTGATTGTTTTTGGAGGTTGGGTGGAAACTATGCTGGACTGCATCACCGGGCCAAGCGCAGCGGATGTTTGCTTCACGCAGCGGGGAGGCTTTGGCACAAACAAGAAGCAGCTCGTGAATTCCGGGGTGTATGCTGCGCGTGTGGGGAATGGAGCCAGTGTTGCGTGTCTGTTGGCTGAGGTGGCTAGACTCCAAAACCAGGAGCTGATTGGCGACGTGCGCGGTGAGCAACAAATTCTGAATTTCGTCCTTCACGATGTGAAGCGTGCTGTGGCTAAATTGCACGCGACAAAGCCTTTCCGATGGGGCATCTACAGCCCCGTGTTGGCCATCTCAGGCTTCATGATAGCATCGACCGTTTTGTCACTACGCCTGCAGCACGTAACCGGATCCTCGGCATCATCACAGGACAAGCTTCGCATGATGGACGCCGCCGTGCTCCTACGCGGTGACTTGGAACAACTCTGTCCGCAGTACAATGTCCGCGGCCGTGTCTCTTTTGTCGGTCCACTGAGTAGTTACTGCTATGAGTTGTTCGCCATCGACCCTCACTTCGGACATGCTGTGGAGCCCTTTAAGGTTCTGGAAGGCTTTGGAGCAGAGGACTTCAAATCTCTGACCGCGGTTCTGAAGGCGAAGTCCTGGTTCAACCTGCTCGCAGCAGTGTTGGACCCTTTCAATTTTCATGGAGGATATCGACATTATCGGCAAGCGCGACGAAACTCTTCCAGCTTTGTTTGTGCAGAAATCCATCGGAAGCCGTGCTAGCCTTGTTCTACTCTTTGGAGATGCCTTTGATGCGCGGGCACAGATCTCGAGCGAAGCATCGGCAAGCCGGGATATGTCAAAGCAGTGGGTCGGATTTGGCATTGGAAGCGCCGGGTGGGCGGTCGCACGAGGGAGATGACGATCAAGCAGATTCGGCTGTACATGGAGCAGCCAGAGCCCCGCAACATAATCACCGGAGAGGCACTCGGATTTTATGCAATCGCTGAAAGAATCGTAGCTTTGCATCCGCGAGCTGACGCCAAAGCATTGTTTGGATTGGTTGCGTGGGCGGAGATACAGTTAAATACATATATCAGTCGCTGGCTGTGCTGGTTCGTCATGACAGTGGACCCTTTCCCCGGTTATCAAGTGGCCCCCCTGCCCATTAGTTCTGAGCAAGATGAAAGCCGATTTGGGGTGAACCACAAACACTTCGATGTGGAAGTCATGAGCGATCCTTTCTAGACCCAGGCCTTGCAGTGGTTTGAGAGGCTCAGGCGCTGTGTGGCTGGACTGAGTGACTTTGTTTGGTCTTATGTCCCTTCCCCTGCAATCTCCCTGCAGTTCCACATTCTTGCTCTCACTAACCTCCTGAACTGTCCTACACCTATACTCCTAACCGTATGTATGTATATATATGCACATACATACATTCCGCTTTAGCAGCTGGCTGATGGCTTAGGCGGCTTCCCCTTCAGAGATGGAATTTTCTCGGTACCACGACTTTTATATACGTCAGCGAGAGCTGTCTTCTATAGGTTGTATCAATTGCATAGCTGGTGTTGGCTGTCGGCTTTCGACTTTTTCCTTCGAGCCAGGACTTGCCTCTAGTGCATCCGTCGTCGCAGCCCTACGCTAAACACCACACTTAGCTGTAGCTGGATAGGGCACGCAAATAACCGCCCTGCTTCTGCTAAATTAGCCTACTTGACTTTGTGGTCTTCGGCTTCAGGAAAACCAAGATCAGTGTGGAGTTAAGGCCAAGCAGGCGAGACGGTCATTTTGATATTTCTGCGTACACACACGCACACGTGTACGGAGGCACTTTTGTCCTTCACCCTTGCATTGATTTGTTCAGGCCAATCTGCACTTCATCATGCTGGGTGAGGCCTGCATGCACCCGTGCATGTTCGCAGCGGCCGTACTGTCGTGATTATCGTGCCACAACATGCGGGCAACCAGCTGTTGCTATTCCAGCGGCTGTTACATGGTGCGGCACCCTCCTCGGCTCTAAGGGTATGTGTTTGGCATTGAGATTCCTGAAATCCGCCTATGTACGCAAACATTTTCATAAGCGGAGCACCGCAGCGAAGTTCGAAAAGTCAAAATGTCGAGGCGCGTAGGTTTGAATGCATGTAGCATTGAGGAGCCAGTGTTCCGTTCTTCAGACCAACAAGGGCTTGGGATCAGTGCCGATGCCGCTTTCTCGCCTTGTGTCGGCGTTTGCCAGCTCCTTCGAAGAGGCGGCTCCAATGCAGGAGCCTATGCTTGCCTGGTCGATTTCGGAACCGTCTGCCGTCCAAGACAACACGGAAACAGCAAGACCTGCTCTTCGTAGAGGATGGGGCTGATGCGGCTGCCACTCCCGCGCCTCTGTTCCGGAAGACCTACAGCCTGGATGCAGAACCCTTCGAGGCCTCGCCCGTGGTTGCCATCATGCTGACAGTTAGTACTTTGTTTGGCATGCCGGGGTTGTAAGATGTTTTGCAATGAAAGTCGAAGTCCGCCATTCTGATATTGCAATGCATGATCTTGCTACACGTCGCCTGCTTAGCTGGCGCAGGCCATTACTTCCTTGGCAGCATGTGTGGTGTTTGTAATTCAGGTCTGCTACAGAAGTGTTGTGCCATGTTTTTTCTATCCATGGGAACACCTGATGCTGTCGAATTAAACTCTACTGAGAGCTTCACATCGTAAGCTGCGTTTTGGTGCACTACCTAGCGGCCAAGCGTTTGCAACAGAACACGGAGTATTGGCTTTGAGAAAACTCTCAGATCACCAACTGGGCGTCAGACCACCGCCTCGAGCTACCTTTCGATGCTGCCCGGACTAGAGAGGGGTTGGACGCACCAAGTGAAATGCATGGCTAGTGTAGAGTTTGTGGCTGAGCCTGTCGGATCCCTAGGGCCGCCCCGCATTCAAGCTCTGACCCTGTGAGCTGTGACTAGTGTGTTTATATGTTTGAAGCCGAGGATGCTGCAAAACCCGTCTACCGGTGGAAGCTGCGATGCTGGTCTTCTTCGTGCACTGGGCCGGCATACATTTACTCCCCAGACTACTCGCTGGCGCGGTCGGTGGTGGGTGGGATGTGAGGCCTTCAGAGATTGAGGTTTGTGGCAAAAATGGTAAGGCGATGACAACAGGTGAGGGTCGTTCCGGCAGCTGACTGGCGAGTTTCGAACAGAACGTATGGCAGGACACGGTCAACAAAGCATGAGACCAAGCCAGGGGAAGAGTAACATTGTGCCCACTTGACATTCGGCGCCACACACGATCTCAACATCAGCATCTACCAGCCTCTATCAGCCTGATGCTTGCGGCCCGAGACATTTTCGTGATAAGGAGTTGTTCTTTCGGTTTTCACTGGACAACCTGGGCGAAGACTTCGCGTGCTTGTAAAGCTTTGCAGGAGGTTGCAGGGGGCAAAGCATCCCCACGGCTCATCTTGTCACTGGCCAGCATTGAAGAGAGACGGTGCAACATCTAATTACAACAACCTAGGGCAAAGGTCACTCGTCGCTAATTAGTCACGGATGCGTCCGTGTCAAAGCTGCCAAGCGAGAGTACAAGCATGAGTAGCAGTCCTCCGTCTCGCATTGAATCAGTCGTCATCCAAATGGCTGCCACTCAAGCCGCCTGCTCGAAGGAGACCTATAATGGGCATGCCAGCTGCATGAAAATCCTTTATACACACTGTCCACATCTGCCACATCACGTAGGCAATCCCCTTAGACCTGACAATACCCGTGATGCTGAAACCAGGACCTGGAAAAGATAACGCCGGAGC